TCTTGTCCAAATGCATGCAAGCAAAAGAGCTTAAGTGATTCATCGTCATTCAACTTTTCCATTGTATGCACCATATAGATTTCACGAGCCTTTACCAACCACTTGTGCCTAGTTGTTATGATGATTTTACTACCTGAAAAGAACCAATGTCGCATTCCAATCAATGCATTCATTTTTTCCACTTGATATACATCATCGAAAACAAGCAGGACTTTTTTACCGCCTATGGCCTCTTTGATCATACTAATACCTTCATCAATACTCCATATATGTTCCATTTTTTGATTTAAGATATCAAAAAGAAGTTTCCTTTGTAAATGAACTAGGCCACAAGATTGTTCTAAAATTTCTCTAACTGCAAGAAAGCTGCCACCTTCAAATCTTTGAAAATTTGAGTTGTAAACAAATTTTGCTATGGTGGTCTTTCCTATGCCCCCATCCCCAAAAGCACAACAATTTCAGCATTGCTTGACCCTTTTTTTACCCACGAATTTATGGGTTTGGCTCGGGCGTGCATTCCAATTAGGTATGGGCCAATATGCAAGGGTGTCCGACTTACTTTATCTCCAGTCACTTTAACAATTTTCTTGATAAACTTTGCTTCATGCCTAGAAATTACCACAAAACGGAAAATAAGGCTTAGTGAACTTTGTTGTGACTTGAAGTAAAGAAAAAAACATTATCACGCATATAGGAAAAATGTGATTAATCATCATCATTTTAACAATAAAATACTGATTCTAGACTGAGAAGTAAAAGTTGAAAACAAGACAAAATAAGAGCTCTCATGCAGTTTTTTACGATTCGAAATCTATTTAAAAGTTTATTTTATCTTCATTAATCTTGATTACTTTTATTTAGAACTTGTTTTACTTTTGTTTGAAACGTGTACTTATTATTATTATTATTATTTCGTTTGAACTTTTCCGTATCCCACTAAAATGCAACGGCATTAATCTTTGTATGTTTCGTTATTCTTTAAAAGAAAGAATGAATAGTTCTTAACCAAAAGAAGAAAAGAAAAGAAAGAATGAACAGTGATTTGTTGCTAATCATGATGCTAAACATATAATATCCTTTTTATGAAATAGGTAACTTTAGGATTATTAGAATTTCTTGCTAATTATGTTGTGATAACTATTTTTATAACTTTTTTCGGTACAAATTTTTTACCATTTTTATATGTGATTTATCACTTTTGTTGGTCTTTTTTCACTGTTGCAACTATTTTTTCAGTGACAAAAACACTCACAACAGAAAAAATCACCCACAAATGTAGTAACTTTTGGTATGGTACCAAACTTTTGTTTTTCATACCTTAGTGAAGTCTTTTTGGGAAAAATAAAAATCCACCAAAAAAAAAAAACTGATTATGCACAGAGAGAGAGAGAGGATCTCGTATGAAGTTTTTGTCCAAAGAAAAACCAATTTCAAGAGTTGCCACAATTATTCTTTTCAAGATCTTCTTTACATGATGTTCAATGATAGACAACTCAATTAAGACAACTCAATTAATACATTAAAATACTCTCCAATATCAAACAATCATACCAATCCATACTTATCTTTATTTCCATTTTAATTTTAAATTATGTAATTAAAAAAACAAATTATTATTTAATATAAATATTGTAGGATCAATGTTTAATTTTTGATATTGTTTATTATCTTCAGACACGGAGTTATTGCAATTGATCTTATGTTATATGTAATTACCCTCTAACTAACTTCCCACTACTTTTTTAACTCTCATTTTTTTTTAAAAAAATTCTCTTCTATTTACTTAATTTTCTTCTCTATTATTATGTTCTTTTCTCTTTAAACGAGATAGAGAAAAGATTGAGAGCAAATATTTTCAAATGTAAAAATTTAAATTTCGTGCATCACATGATTTGGTTACTACTCTTACAAACTAATCCTTTTATGTTTTCATCTAATAAGACAACAAGTAGAGATGTGATCAATTGACGATTTTTAATCTGGGAAAATCGGGGACTGAATCATTTATCCAGGGTAGGCAAATGCAATGGTGCCCCTCACGGTCCAGTAATTTGTTAGAACTTTTAACCTTATGATGTGATAAATGGAAGAGTCAACGAAAAAGTCTAACAATTATAATTATAGTAACACTATTGGACAAATTGTCATACCATTGTATTAATAAATTGGATCATTATTTTAAGGGTAAATTAAACTGATAATCCTTGTAGATTGATCTAATTATAGGGACCCCACCTAATTTTTTAAAATTACACTAACATCCTTTACTGTTAATTACTCATTTCACAAAGTACTTCTATGGTTAGCATCGTTATTGGTAATGTAAAAAAAAAGGTTACATCAACTTTTTATACTTTAATGCTCATATTATCCTTGAACAAAATTAGGGTAAGCTGTTTATTTTCGTGCCATGCTGGTATTTTATTCGTATTCATTTTTCTGTTTTTTTTTTGATAATGTGAAACCGCTCCAAGGTAGTGCCACTTTGGACCCATCCTTGCGAGAGTAACCCCGGATATTTACAATTATTAGTAAATCACAGGTATCGATTAAGCCTGAGAGACACCAGCGAAAGTCGAACCCTTGACATCTGGATTTACAGTTTATCTAGATTCAACTCCACACCACTGGGCTACCCGTGCGAGTATGTTCGTATTCGTGTTGACCCATATAAATTTTAAATAAAAAAAATTAACGTTAAGATTTAAGTGTAAGACTTTATTATCACTTCGTTAAATCTACACTCATATTTTTTTTATAAACTAAAAATTAGCTTAATAAAAACAATAATAATAATGAATAAAAATATTTTTTTATACAATAATTATTTCAGTGCTTAATAAACAACAATAAATAATTAATATTTTGTTTTTATAATACTAGTTAAACATGTTGATCGTGTCAATTTTGTGTTGTTTGTATTAACATATAAACAATAAGATAGAGGAACAAAGGTGGGGCGAGATATACTGAGGTCTAAAGCGGAAACAATAAATAAGACCTTTTATTTTTAATATTATTAATAATTTTTTTTAAAATATAAAAATATTAATTAAAATTTTATTTTTAGGCTTTTATTACTATATTTGAACTTGATAATAAGAGAGAGAAAGAATAATTAAAAATTATGATGATAAGTTTAAACTCAATTTTTTTTTAGGATTAAGACAATTTTTTAATAACTTTAGTTTTATTGTTAATTTTTTTTATTTTTTTTTAAAAATAAATTTTAATCTCTTTTATTTCTTGGCTAAATTAATAGACTCAATGTACTTAACTTGAAATCTTTTGTTTTGGCATGAATTTAAATTTTGTGTTTGGATTATTAGTGCATGCCTATAAATTATGGGGTTTTCCTTGAAGTGAGACCTTAATTTTTTTTTTTTAATTGGGTTTGGTTTTTTATAAGATCTTTTTTTGTAGGGCTTAAAATATTTATGGATTTAGTTTTTTTACACAGATTCTTTATTTATCTAAAAAATTGAGTCTTTCTTAAACTACACTATCCAAGCTTTTTGAACTACACTATTGAGCCGCCCTCGTAAAGAAAGTTTGACACAATTAAATAAACGGGGTTGATCGTGTCAAATTTAGGTTTGACGGGTTTAATCCAAAAATGACTCATTTATTAGTATTTAAATATATGAGAGGATGATAAGTAAAAAATTATTTATGGTAAGGATAAATATGAGAAATCGACTTTTTCGTTATATTTGTGGAGGGAAAAAACCTGACAGGGGGTGTTAGTGTGATTTTAGAAAATTAAGGAGATATTTCTGTAATGAGATCAATTTATAAAGGGTGTCAGTGTAATTTGCCCTTACTTTAAATCAGAATAGTATTAAGGGTTAATCTCATTTTGCACCCCGAAAGATTGTTCAAATCTCAATTTACACCCTCAAAGATCAAAAATCTCAATTTACACCCTCAAAGATAGAAATTTGTATCAATGTGCATCCCCAAAGATAAAAAATCTCAATTTGCACCTTCAAAGATAGAAATTTGTATCAATGTGCACCTAAAATTAAATTAATAAATTATACATTGATCCCCTCATGTTTGTCACTTAATCATTTGAACTCCTTCACATTTAGAATATTCCCCTTACATCTCATGACGTTTATGCATGTGTAACACATAACCACTTTTCGTTGATATATATTAATATAATCGTTAAAAAATATGATTTTATCCTAATATAAAATTATAATTTTATATTACCTTTTATTTTGTGGATTCGATATACTCTAAAGTTGAAAATCAAGCTTACCATTTGAATGTCTAATAAAATGTAGATATTTATATAAAAGGTAATATAAAAAATATTATATAAATATTTATATGTTATTAGACATTCAAATAGTAAACTAGATTTTGAACTTTATAGTATATTGAACCTATAAAATAAAGGGTAATATGAAATTATAATTTTTTATTAGGATAAAATTATATTTTTTAACGGTTATATTAATATATATCAATGAAAATGGGTTACGTGTTATACGTGCACAAATGTCATAAGATGTAAGAGTAATATTCTAAATGTGAAGATGTCTAAATGATTAACTGACAAATATGAGGAGATTTAGGTATAATTTATCAATTTAATTTTAGGTGCACATTGATAAAAATTTCTATCTTTGAGGGTGCAAATTGAGATTTTTTATCTTTGGGGTACACATTGATATAAATTTCTATCTTTGAGGGTGCAAATTGAGATTTTTGATCTTTGAGGGTGCACATTGATACAAATTTCTATCTTTGAGGATGTAAATTAAAATTTTTGATCTTTAAAGGTATAAATTAAGATTCGAACAATCTTTCAGAATGCAAAATGAGATTAACCCTACTATTAATTAATTCTCACATAATAAACTTAACCTGAACACAAGACACAAAAGTCCACTTCTCGTCTAACAAGTCAAAGTCACTGTCAAGACAAGTCTCTTACTTAGTTAAAAGTCATAATTGCATAATTGCAAAAGGTTCTTGTTTGGGTCCTACCAACTTGACAGATAAAAAAATAACAAAATTAGAAAATGTGTCGAACACGTCTTGTCCATCAATCATAATTGTCTTTAGTGAGCCGATAAAATAAAAATGGTTAGGTTGGCATCTTCCACGAACCTTATATTATGACCATTAAGTTAAGACATTTCGCTGTCGAACTTGAATCTCATACGTACAAAATAGCAAAACATCAAACCTATTTTTACACTACTCGGGTGGTTCTTCTTTGAAATTCTATTTCATCCCCACAAACCTTTTACTCTTTAACTAAGATATTTCTACAACAAAATTGAATTGTAAAAATATCTAAAGCTTCATATATTTATAACAAAGGCCAATTATTTTTTGTATTCTTACAAGTACAAAATCAAGTTTTATAGTACAACTCTGAAAAAAAAAAGTTTATACTGCAATTCAATATTGTTAGAATTTGACCCAAACACTGTAATTGTTATAAAAAAAAGTTTGTTGGGTAATTAGTGTGAAAATTCTAAATGAAATGTGAAACGTATTGTAAGAGTCGTAATAAACCATTGATAGATTTATTAGTGACCAAATCAAATTGAAAGAATTTTAATATACTATGAATAGGTTTTTTTTTAATATATCATGAATATGTATATTAGACATATGATAGGAAATATAAATATTTGTATTTAAATATATTTAAATTACAGTATAAATAGGGTTAAATATTACGTAATCAGTTATCAAATGACCAATTTTTTCAAGTGCACGTGATTATTAGTGTGCAAGTGCATGACGCTGGGTGTGTGTGTGTGTGAATCTTTCCTTAATGTAGCGTGAATCTCCATGTGTGTGTGTGTGCGTGTTGGAGGTGTGGGGTGTTCGTGTGTGAGTGCATAACTGTAAAATTTGACTGTGTGTGTGTGTGTGTGTGAGACAGACAGAGAGAGAGAGAGAGAGAGAACCTGGATGGGACAAATCTTTGAGTAAAATACTCCTAATAAGCCATTTGCTAAAATCACCTTAAGGTTCGCCATTGCCTTGAAGTCATGCAATCCCAAAAAGTTGATTATTCGTGGATCAATTCTTTCAAACGGTTCTAATTTGAACCAGCCCTGAACCTCAACTAGGTTGCGGCACCCATCAAATGCAGCTTCCCGTAGTCTAAACATAGTTGACAGAAATGTTATTTTCTCCAACGACATGCAATTTGAGACATTCAATTTTTTCACACTCGGTAGTCCTTCAAGCAATTGGAGCCTCATACACGATTCAAATTGAAGGGTCTGGAGCCTGGTAAGATCTCTGATGCAATTTGGTTGGCTGAAAATTGGATTTTTGCTTAGATTTAAGTGCTGCAGTGAAGATAGGTTACTAAACTCTGGGGGAAAATCTTCATCAGACAGACTGCAATCTGCAAGACTCAAGCTCACCAAAGAGGTGGGTAAAGATGCCCATGAAATTTCCGGACCCTTTCTCCACTTTGAAGACAAGCCAAATGTATGCTTTGACCCAACCTTCCCAGGGGAAGGCAGTAATCTGTTTATAGCAATCCCATCAGCGTGAAGCACTTCCAAAGATTCCATCTTCCTTAGTTCCGCTGGAAATCTTTTAAGATTTGAGCAACCAGAAATAATAAGTGTTTCAAGAAATTTCATAACAAAAAGTTTTCTTGGAAGAGTCCGAAGATTTTTGCAACCTTTTAGATTCAGGAAGACAAGCCTCTTAAGATTTCCAATGGATTCATGAACCTCAACTATACTTGTACAACCTTTAAGAATCAGTCTCTCAAGATTGGGGAGTGCCGAGAAATCTGGAGTTTTGGCAAGGCTGTGGGAATGACTGAGATCAAGGGACTTTAATAAGGGAAGAAACTGTAAAAGGGAAAAGAAAAAAGAAAAAAAGGTGGGAACTTTTGTTATTCTGGCACATGATTAATTCCCAAAACTCAACAAATAAAGGGAAGAAGAAGGAGTACCCTGGTTTTCTTCCAAACTTGTTCCAAGCTGCTATAGCGCATGTCAAGAGCCACCAAGGTCTCCAAGGGAAAACTACTAGGTATATATTTAAGATGGAAGCCATGCCAACACAACAATCTTAATTTTTTAGGAAATTCCTCATCGCGTCCATTGTCATTGAAGTGCACATAATCAAGTTGCAGTAGTCTTAGTCTGTGCATCCTTCTAAATGAGTTAATTTCCAAGTATTCATTAGAATTCTCTTGGTTTTATGACAATACTTGGTCAGGAGGTTCTCCAAAATGGGATTTTATTGCGTTAACGGTGTTATCTCCATTGAACATTCGCATGTCAAGGACAAGGCCTTCAATTGTTTCAGTGCCCTGATAATGGGAGAGAGAGAGAGAGAGAGAGTTAAAAAGCATGGATGCCCATATAAAAAACATAATTGAGAAGCATGTACCCTTACAGTTTTCTTTCTCAGTACATTAAGGGCAGTATGATCCCACAGTCTGGAACGTTTCCCAGGATCCTTAGGTGACTCTCGGCGTATAATTTCTCTTGCCATGTCGCAAACCAATTGATGCATCCTCAGCTTGTTGTATTCGTCAATTGTTAAGAGACATCTATCAACCAGACTTTCAATCCCAATTGCAGTGAAGAAACCACATTCATCCAATATCATAATTGTGTAGTCTTTGTCCTTCCCAATGAAAAAACAAGCAATATGGAGAAACAACTCTCGGTCATGGTCATCTGGCAAGGAGTCAAAACTTATTTTGAGTTTTTCTAAGCTTCGACTTTCAGGAATTGCTTCAAGTTTATCTGATTCACTTTTCCACAGATCAACACTTTTCCCACGTAGAGAAGACCCCAAAACTTGAAGAGCTAATGGAAGACCCCTGCTGTAGTCTGCTACTCTTTTTGCTTGCTCTGTGTAACCTCCAATTGGATGGTCTTGTCCAAATGAATGCCAGTTGAGGAGCTTAAACGATTTGTCATCATTCAACGTTTCTACCGTATGCACCATATCAATATCATGAGCCCTTAGCAACTGCTTCTGCCTAGTTGTTATAATGATTCTACTTCCTGGAGAAAACCAGTCTCCCATTCCAACAAGTGCATCTAATTGTTCCACTTTATTTACATCATCCAAAACAATTAGAACCCTTCTATTGTTTAGGGAATCATTGATTTTGCTATTTCCTTCATCAATACTCCATATCTTTTCCCTTTTCGATCGTTGGATATCCAAAAGAAGTTTCTCTTGTAAACAAACTATGCCATTACGTTGTTCCAAAATTTCTCTAACTGCAAGAAAGCTACTACCTTCAAATCTATGATGGTTCAAGTTATAAACAAATTTTGCTATGGTTGTCTTCCCAATGCCACCCATCCCACAAAGTGCACTAATGCCAACATTGCTTGATCCATCTTGTAACCAATAATTTATATTTTTGACTCAAGAGTGCATTTCAACTAGGTATGGTTCAATATTCAAGACTGCCCGATATAGTTTTTCTCCAATCACGCTCACAATTTTCTCAATAAACTTTGCTTCATGCCTAAAGATTGCCACCAAAATAAAAAATAACAAATAATGAACTTTGTCATGACTTGAGGCAAATAAAAAATTATGATCCATATAGCAGATAATGTGATTCATTATTATCATCATTTAATCAATGTAATGACCAATATTGAGAAGTAGATAGCAAAAACATGCTTAAAGGGAAAAAATATACAAATTAGATCGCCAGGTTGGAATTAATCTTGGTTATAACATAAATATACTTAGCTTAGGATGTGAGGTATGAGCATATATGTGCTGAGAGCATCTCCATTGTTTTTGCCTATACTGCGTTTCTCTATGCTATTTTTAACCTGTCACAATACCAAAAATACTATGTTTTGACATACCCTTCCATTGTGCTATTTGTGCATTTCAATGAAAATGCCATTTTTGGCACAACCACCATATGACCCTATCTTGATCATCTGATTCAATCGTGTGTGTCTAATTTTATGTGCTTGCAATGTTTTCAAATTGTACTGTGAATAAGATTTTTTTTAATGCAATATTTGGTATTGTAAAAAACTTTAATTCAATTCAAAGTTACACAAAGCAAAACAAGATAAAATATGTAATCATGGAGAATGAGGAAGAGAACATCATAACCAGTGTTTTTGGCACAATGCATTGTTGTGAGGGGCTAAGAGAAGTGCCAGGTCCCCATGTGTTTGAGGGAGTTGGATGGTCATCCTGCTCATCAGGGCTGTATTTTTTACTTTTTTGTTAAAACTTAGACAGCTGAAAAAGATTTCTAGGAATTGTTAAGGGGAAATAATAAATTAAAAAAAAAAAAAATCAAAGGTCAAGCATCGCATGCAAAATTTGAAATATGAGGCACTGATTTGGCATATTGGCATGCAAAGGGTACACAATTGGAGATTTCTTTTTTGACCATATATGCCAAATTTTGACATTAGCAAATTGAAAATTTGAAATGGCACACCATTGGAGATGCTGTAACTTCCTATTTAGTGGAAGTACATATCTCCAGTTTTGTCCTCTAATTTTTTACCAACAATGGGGCAAACTTCATTGCTCATATGATTTTGACACAAACTTTGTATGTCTATGCTTAAATAGCCGTTGATAGTGATATTGGAAGATTTCTTTGGCAGGTGCTAAGAATTTCAAAATGATACAAGAGCAAGGTCAAATCAAGGTTCTTCAAAGGTCTCCCCATTATATTTTCTTGTCTCCTTGGCCTTTCTATGAAATGGTTTTGCATTTGCTAATTCTATAAACAATTTCCAAGACATCAGTAATTTAAGGTTATGATGAGTACGATCCTGATTTGGTTTGTTCTCAAGTTTAATATATGTTTCAAATCCACATTGTCTTCTTTTGTTAGCGTTTTAGTAGTTTTTATTACTACCAATACTATAACACTAACACTAGCACCAGCACCACCAACAACAACAAAAAAAAAAAAATACAAGATGAGCTTTTTAAAGGACAATTCTATTTTACCCCTTGTGATTTGATGGTGTAGCATATGATCTGAAAACAATCACATTTCCCTAGTATGGTTTTAGACTAATCTGAACAAGTAACATCATTTACGGAACTGGTAAAAGGGAATTGAGACCCTGCCCTTGTCAGTAATTTCTCTTCAATTTTCATACTTCAGTTTATACGAAAGAGAGAATCAAGACGAAAGGCATCTAAGAGAATCAATTTCTACGCATACCCAGAACCAGGAGAGACCAGATTGCTCGTTGGCAGAATCAGTCTGGTCACCCATCTGGTGTGCAAAAGATACTGTTACAGAATGACTGCGTTTTGTCTCCCTACTTACTTCCACTAAAGAACAAAAAACCAAACACCTGGTGTGCAAGGACCAAAAAAGGATTTAGTTGCGAGATCATTAATCAAACACTGGGTTTGTCGGCTGCTGCTTAGGTTATCCCTCTGTTCACGCAAAAAAAAAAGAAAAAGTGCCGGAAAGAATCCATTTTTAGGTTCAATGTTAAGTGGGTTAAGAGTCCGACCAAAACGGAAGGGTACTCAAGACTTTTGGTTCTAACTCAGTCTGTCTAGCTAGCACTAGCAGGCTCCAACTTTGCTATGCAAGCCATAGTGTACCTTCTCACCACAACACTTAGAGAGAGGGGAGAGATTCTTATATGAACAACCAATTTCAAGAGTCGCCTGCCTCAATTATTCATTTTAATGATTTCCTGGTGTAAGAAGACATTAAAAGAGGTTCTCAATTGCGGGTTCAGCTCCCCTCCAATTTCTTAAGAATTGGAGAATTCAAAAGGCAACTGCGAGTGAGTACGATCATAACATAAAAGAAAAACGTGAAAAATAATGCAGAAAATAAAGATTTTGGAGAAAATAAATTACCCATCAGCTTAATTTTTCAAAGTCATCCCTACCAAACCTGCAACTTCTCTAAGCGCTGCTCTCCAGCCATTCACCTTGTCCATGCCACCAGTTTCTCTCTCGAATCTCTGTTCATGCCTTGCAAATGATTTCGAAAAACTTCCAGTTTGGTTCCTGACTTGGGTCGGTTCCACATTATAGAAGACAGGTAGGACTATATGTCCAGCCGTCTTCTTGCGTTCAAGGATCCTCACAAGTTCATCAAGGCAGTATCTTGACGATGCATATAGTCTTTGGAGAAGACAATTATTGAACACCTTGATTATTCAATTGCTTTAAGCAGCTCCGAATTAATATTTTCTCCTCTTTTTATCTCATCATCGTCTCTGAACGTGCGTAATCCAGAATTCATCAAAGCTGTGTAGAGGTGGTCAGTAAAATTTTTGCGGTGTCTTCACCTCTAAAACTCAAGAACACTTGATAAGAAAATCCAGAAGGAGCAGTCATTGAAATAGAGGTCTAAGAGATTAAGGTCGAAGATAACTACGGAATCATTCTGGTTAAGGCACAAGGGATCGTTGTAGAAAGGTCCATACCATTACCCGCACGTATAAGAAGAAAATAATTCAAGAGCAGAGGAAGCCAATGATTTCCATTATAAAAACCTGAAATCGGTTAAATAGCAAACAATTTAGAGGGAGGGGTTTGACGAGCCTTTCACTGCCTATTTTTTTTTAATGAAATATCTATTTAATATTATAGCTAATAAGTTAAATTCTTCATTTTTAAAAATCCAATAACGATTAAAATTGATTCAATCTTCATCTATTTTGATCGAATAATACAAAATTTATCCCAAATTTTTTTTTCAACAAAACATCAACTTCTCTGCATGATCTTCAATGGTAAACAATTCAATAAATACATCAAAATATTCTCCAATATCAAACAATCTTATGAATTTATACTTATTCATTTTTAATTTTAAATTATGTAATTCAAAAAAATAAATTACTATTTACTATAAATATTGTAGGATCAATGTTTGATTTTTGATATTATATAGTATTTTTGATCACGAATATATTGCTATTGATCTTATATTATATATAATTACCCTCTAACTAACTTCCCACTACTTTTTTAACTTTCATTTTTTTAAAAAAAAGTTCTCTGCTATTTACTTAATTTTCTTCTCTATTATTATGTTCTTTTCTCTTTTAAGGAGAAAGAGAAAAGATTGAGAGAAAAATATTTTTACATGTAAAAATTTAAATTTCATGCATCACATGATTCGGTTACTACTCTTATAAACTAATCTTTTTATGTTTTTATCTAATAAGACAATAAGTAAGCATATCATAGTGTTTTTTGTTCGGCTGTGTTACCATGTTATTACCTTATCGTGAAGTCAATTTTTTAATTCGTAAGCATTAGCCCTCACATAAGAGCCCCAATCTGAACGCAAGACACACAAGTCCCAGTTCTAGTCAACTGTCAAGACAAGTTTCCTATTTATTTCCTTTCCTTTAGCCCATGCTGATTAAATAAGGAGTGTTGTCTCTTCTCATATTTGTGATGGCATTCAAAATAATATTATATAGAATTGATCCAAATATTTGTGAATAAATCCAAACTTTGGTTAGTGATAAATTAACGTCATTGAAAGATAACTTTATCAGTTTGTAATTTTTAATACAATATAAAGATATTTACTTGATCTTTAAGGGAAATTGCTTGGATGCTTCTCCTATGACACTTCAGAGATGGTATTAAAACTATGACGCTCAAGTCACCATGTGTGTCTGGCTGATCAAAAAGTGGTCAATGGAAAATGTGTAAAGGACAAAGGTAAGAAGAGATCGTGGACAAGTATGCATAAAAATAAACAAACATTGCATATACAAATCTAAAGTTCAGTCTACGACAAGCTCCTTCGATGTCTGGTGGGAGTGAGACTCAAGTATCTAAAGCCCTTTTGGAGTTCATAGAAAATTGGTGTGGTGTGAGTGATTCTATTATGATGGTGAAGATGGAATTTTCATTCACAAGAATAAAAAATTTGCTTACTGGACAAAGGGTCCCACCAAGTTTGTTCCATCCCCATATATTGCTCGGTAATCCATGGGACCTACCACTTTGGAGATTGGCAATAACGAATGGAATCATAAAGGAGTTTCATGGTCCCACCACTCGTTGGTGAAGACTAAATTCACTTGGGTAGGTTGGCCATGGAGAATACTTTATTTACAGAGTGCGAAAACATTGAAAAGAAAAAGGTTGGCATGTAGTAGGTGTATAGCTTTTTTGAAGCAATTGTTTCCATGCTCGTTTCATTCCAAAAATTTTATAAGTTATTTTCTATTACGTAAAGGGCAAAGGTTTATCTCCTCCCCACTTTCCTCAATTTTTTTTATGAAGCCTTCTTTCCTCAATTTTTTTTAAAAAATTCTTTGAATTTATAATTTTTTTGATAAAATTATGATTTATCCAATCATGATATGACAGGTGCAAATTTAAGGAGTATATCCACGGGTCCGACACTAGTCCTCCTTAAATTGAGTAATTCTACATTATTGGAAAACAATTGTGATAGTTTACTAAAAATTATCACTTATAATGATGAAGTTATATCTTTTTACTTGAAAAAATTCACCATTATCGATCATGAATTTCTTTAACAAATTGTAACAAATTTTTTTTTTTTTTGAGTTGTAAGTTGACATTTAAAAATTATTATTTTTATGATCAATTAAAATTTTAGGTTCTATTATATTTTTTATAAATTATAACTTACACTTCAAATAGTTATAATTAAACTTTATTTATAAAATTATAACTGTAGTCTTTCCTCCTCAAATATTTATTTTTTTATATTTTCATTTGATTAGATAACATGATATGATGGGATCAATTAACAGTTTTTAATGTAAAAAAATCACTGATGGAATCTATTTATCTAAGATAGGCCATAGGTGTTGCTCATATAGCCAACCCAATCTGAATGTCACACACAAACCCCACATCTTGTTAATAGTAAAAGCCACTGTCAAGACAAGTTTGTGATGGCATTGCTGACTTTTATTTATTGGAAATCCAAAAAATTAAAGAATGTTGCTTTGGTCCTGCCAACTTGATAAAAAAAAAATAAATAGAAAATGTCTCCTACAAGTGTTGCCCACTAAAAATATTTTGGTTATTAATTAAATAAAAATATTTGTTTGCCATCTTCCATGAATGCTATGATCATTATGTTAAGAGTTGGTTTTGAAGAAAAAATATGAAAAGTGAATGGAAGATGTATAAGCAAACATTGAAAAGTGAATGAAAGATGTATAAGCAAACATTGCATGCAGGTTGAGGTGACAATCTTAATCTATTACCTATTAATTCGTTTAACCCGCTCATAAATAAATAGGTTATGTATCTATATTAATTAATACAAATTTTAAATGGATTGGATAATATGATTCATTTTAATTAAACGGGTTAATATGGATTATAAATAAGTACTCATTGGGTTAAATATTTATCTTTCTATTAAATAACACAAGTAATAAAATTAAATAAACATACTAATATACCAACAAATACACGCACTAATATACTAAAAAATACACACATCACTAATACACCAAAACACACATACAAATACACCACCCATGACCATGCGGTCAACCCGTGATCCATAGGCCGACCCATGACCCGTGGATCAACATATGGCTCACAATCGACCTCAATCCGTTATGTGTGTGTATTTGTTTTTTATTAAATGTGTTTTAGTTTTTGTATTAGTATATGTTTGTGTATTTTTTGTGTATTAGTGTGTGTTTTAGTATACTAGTAGGTGCACACGTGCGTTACACGTGAATAATATTAAATTATTGGTTGTTAACATTTTATGTTATCATTTTGCAAGTTCATTTGTTGTGGTTTATATTTTGACTAATGAGATTTGAACGAAAAATGAAAGAGCTAATCAAATATACTAAGATTTGAAGGACAGTATTAGTTCATGGTTGAGTGACCATAAGAGTTGGAGGATGGATGAATTAAAGGGAATAAGTAGTCATTTCCTAACGATCTGTACATAGCCCCAGTTAGTAGGTGCCACAAAACTGCATAAGTGAAAATTTCAGTGGTAAAAGTATACATATTTGCAGCATATAACTAGCATGGTCATGACTTTTCTCTTTTACATTTGAGCCACGTAAAATGCATGCATAATTATCTTGTCTATTGAATTGAACCGATTGTCATTATAATTATGTGTAAATTGATTATAATTATCACTCAGCCAGTTAGGTACATGCCTAGACATGGTATTAACAAAATTGATAGTCTAACACATCAAAAGTAATCTAAGGAAAAGCAAACTAACCTGCACACATTGTAAACCCACTAAATTTTATCAAATCATCATTGACCCAACAACAACACCAATAGAAGACAAAAAAAAAAAAAAAAAAAAAACT